TGTCTTGTAAGTGGACAGCGGGCTAAGCCGTGGATTATCTCCGGCGTAATCTCCTCGTGCTGTCCTGGCGAGCTAGTGGACGGGATCAGCGCAGTGATTTGACCAATAAGATCGATCAATCTGATTGTTTTGTTTTGTAAAGAACGCAGCTTTTGTTGTTGTGGTACGCTAGTTTTACTACTAAAGACAGTTGGATTCAAGTCAAAGAAAATTGAAAGTTTGAAGATATACTAGCTGAGTTGGGTCAAAAACATTCCTGCTTAGTGTGGATATGTGTTGTAGGCTATGCGATGCCGTGGTAACTTAAGGACTTTGTTTTGGATAAGTTGATCGAACGGTTGAAATAATTTGATCTTTCTTTTTGAAAAGTTGAAACGAACTTGCTTGTTGGTGATTGATTGAACTGATGTTATCGGACTTAATCGTTCCTTGTTTGGAAAACTTGATCGAATCCTATTTGAAGAATTTGATTGAACCCTATTTGGAAAACTTCTTGATCGAATCCTATTTGAAGAATCTGAATCCTATTTGGAGAACTTGATCGAATCCTATTTGAAGAATTTGATCAAATCCTATTTGGAGAACTTGATCGAATCCTATTTGAAGAATCTGAATCCTATTTGGAGAACTTGATCGAATCCTATTTGAAGAATTTGATCAAATCCTATTTGGAGAACTTGATCGAATCCTACTTGAAGAATTTGATTGAACCCTATTTGGAGAACTTGATCGAACCCTCGATTGGATAACTTGATTTGGCCATCTGCGACCAACAGAGGCAACGACAGGCCATCAGCCACTGGCCATCAACAACTGGCCACCAGCGAGCGGCCACCCGTGACGATGAAGTTCCAGGAAGAACGGCCCAGCTGCCGTTACGCCTACAACACCAGTCCTGCAAGCCAGTGCCTGATCACTGAGGCGTATCGGGTGGAGCAGTACGTGGCGGTGTCGCACCGGCGCCCAGAGCACGGACATCCGTACTACGAGGCGCCGCTCAACAGCTCCAACCTGTTCTCGCTGGTCGAATCTCTGCCTAGCTGGAAGTTGTGTGGTAGGTTGTTTTGTTTCTAGCACTGACACTGTGTCTGTTTGTTCTTTCATAGAATAAATACATAGACTAGTTATAGCTCTAAAAACATTCGTCATATGCTTGATAGCATTAGAAACATCGCTTATTTTCCTGTAGAAACATCCGTTATTTTTCCGATGGCTCTAGAAATTAGAAACACCGGTTGATTTAGCTCTGTTGTTACTATTTTACGACTTATCCACGGGGGCCATGTCGATTGAAGAAGTTAAACACACAATCACATCTCGACTTTTTAAAATCCATATTTGTTAATAATCGCAGTTACTTATTTTATCTTAATTTTCGCCAGGAATGAAAACTTGTGATTCGTATTGGCTTGTTCCATTTTAACAATGTCAACAACGATCTGCATTACGTAATTGGTGAATGTCTGGAGTAAAACCTGAATCGGTTTTCGCTGTGGAATATCATAAACTACTTAGTCTAGATCTCACCAACGCACCAAGTTATGATATATTTTTTTGCTTGGACTTTATAAAAACGTATCCTTTCATCACATCATCTTTTTCCTTTTGTGCGCAGGTCACATGGGGCCACCACAGAAAGCTTTTTCCACTTTTGTCGGTCTTTGTCCTGCCTTAGTTGTTTTTCTGCTACGAGCCGACCCGCGGCGTATCATACGCCGCTATTTAGTTGTTTTATTTTCTATTTTTCAGTCATTCATAATTTGTGAATTCGACAGTACCAATGCTGCCACTGAAAATATTTGCTTTAAAATACTATCAGTAGGTCGTTAAGGACGATACCCCCCTCCCTTCCCCCAACCCCTACCCAACGCCCCCCCCCCCCCCCCCCTCCCCCGTGAAAGCAACCTCCCCTAAGTTTAAAATCGTTTCAAACTAAATTATCTGTCTATATAGCCGTCACTAAACCCGGCTCTACGGTGTAAACATTTAGCGTGAACCACAGCTCACCTGACCATGTGGGGGTGGGGGTGGTAAGGGTATGCCTAGAGAGAAAGAGAGGGGAATTCTAGGCGCGCTAACACCTTGGTGTTTTCTATCGTCTCCAAGAAGAGAATTATATATATACGAGCCGACCCGCTGCGTATCATGCGCCGCTATTTAGTTGTTGTTTTTTCTACTTTTCAGTAATTCATAATTTGTGAATTCAACAGTAACAATGCTGCCACTGAAAATATTTGCTTAAAAACACTAAACCCCCTCCCCCCCCCCCCCCCCCCACGTGAAAGCAGCCTCCTCTTAGTTACCTCCTCTAAGTTTAAAATCGTTTCAAACTAAATTATCTGCCCCTAATAGCCGTCACCAAACCCGGCTCTATGATTGTAAAATGTAAACAGCGTGAACTACAGCTCACCAGACCATTTGGGGGGTGGGGGGTAGCGATAGAGAGGAAGAGGGGGGACTGTAAGGCGCGCTTGCAGCTTGTTTTCTAACGTCTCCCAGAAGAGAATTATATATATAGATACGCCTCCACGTCTACCTTAGCCTTCCCTGTTTTCTTTTTCCTTGAGGGGGCCCATTTAGTTAGTATGACATCACACGAATGGGGCTAAACTAGAAGCCTCTAGGAAAAACCTGACCTATCCAGCATCATCTTTTTTATTATTTTTTTCACTAATTTCTGAAACGGCTTCCATCTCCATGTATCCTAGATCTAGTTATCTATCCTTGGAGATGGCGTTGGTCCAGTGGATGCCTTTTATCCACCTCATCCAGTGGATGCCTTTTATCCACCTCATCCAGTGGATGCCTTTTATCCACCTCATCCAGTGGATGCCTTTTATCCACCTCATCCAGTGGATGCCTTTTATCCACCTCATCCAGTGGATGCCTTTTATCCACCGCATCCAGTGATGTGATGATAGCGGTTGGTACTTCCCAGCATTCGCTGCCATACGTCACGCTTAGGATATTACTTTTCAAACGTCTGTATTTCGTCCTGGAGATTTCCTTCCATCGCAATGTCTTTTGTGTGGCTGTAAATGCTTGCTTGGTTTTTGAGATGCGGGGTTTCATTTCAGTGGTGCAGTCTCCTTCATAATTGACACTACTGCCTAAATGTGTGAAATCTTTTACTTGTGTGTTGTTTAATTTAATAGACTCTTGTCTACTTGTATTAATCCTTTAAAACAAGCATTTCAGATCATTTGCTAACAACTATCAAACTGTTGTCAATCTTTTTATTTATATTGGGGGTTGGGGGGGGGGGGGGTTGACTTGCGAATTGGTGTTGCATCTCAACATTAAAAGTATATTATAGCTTAAGCCAAAATGATAGTCTTTAAAAGTATTATTTTTAGATCAAAACTGATTACATTTAGCTTGCTTTCAAAAAGGTTTATTGTTACACAAATTGTTTAATTTAATAAACTTGCAAGTGGTTTACGTTTTTGAAAATTTTCCAAGTTTAATTTAGTAAATTATATAACTTCATGTGTAGGGCAGTTAGGTAATTACAGTGATGGAGGGGTGAAGGTGTGTGTGAAAGGGGGTGGGGGAGTTAAAAGAAGTCATGACGCATCGAAATAAGGGAAATAACTGCTAATCAAGGGAAAGAACAACCTGAAAAAGTGTGAAAATCCGGAAACCACAATCGTGTTTTAGACAGGAAATACTTTGTAGAATAGTTGAACGTCGTGTATTGTTGCCAGCGTTTTGTCACTAACCGCATGAGTTAGCTCGCCTTGATTCACGGGAAGCGGGGGAATGGGATTTCCCCCACACTACAATCAACCGCTCTCTCACAGCCGCCCATACCGCACAAAAACCCACTTTTAATTTCAAGTGAATCGGCGACACAATTAATTTTTTAGTACGAACTGCTTAAGCATGTTTTCAATGTAGTTTTTATTTTCTTCTTAAACATTTTTTTTAAAGTGTCATGTGTGACGTTTTGTCGTTCGCGTGCCGCCTTTATTTTTCGTGAAGAATGTCAAGAGAGAATGACAAGTTTTTAGCCACAATACCGGAAGTCGCCACTACTCTTAATTTTAATAGACAAGAGTTACTCTTCTTAGTAATGACCTAGATCTATATTGTACGGGCTTTGTTTTTTACTGGATGACTTTCTAATTTAATTAAATTTTAAATTAGGTTCACTCTAACCCACTACCAATTGTAATTAAATATTTTAGTTGTCCATGCAAACTTGTATTAAATAGATTAGGTTTTGTCAAGCTATATTTAAAATTACAGTTGAATGGACGAGAAGCAACCGTTTAGTTCAGTTTACCAGACACATTCCGTTACACAAAGGTTTCACTTCAATCTTTGGTGGTGCGAGCCCTAGTATACAGGAAAAAAAATCGCAAGTTTGGACCTCCCTAGTGTTTCTTTCAGGCATCTGTCTCATAGGGGGGGATGGGGGGTGCCGGCGCCAGGTTATTTAGGTTAAAAGTGCCCCCCCTCAAACTTTCGATTTGCACCACCCCCCTCCTCAAACTTTCGATTTGCACCCCCTTCCCCTCAAACTTTCAATTTGTTTTTCCAACCCATTTTGGCGCCCCCCTACGGACAGCGCCCTAGTTCGCCGTATAGGTAGCGCCGGCCCTGTATGCCGGCGCCTCACCCCCGGACGAAATAGAATAATAAAGTTATACAGTAAATCTGTGGGCCTACTTTAACTAGTTTCCGCCCGCCTGAAATTTAAAGTGAACCCCCCCCCCCCCTCCCTACGCCAAAAAGAAAAAAATATCTGAAAGAGACCTTTTCCCCCTCCATCCCGGTTACAAGTGACCAGATTTATGTTGCCAAAACCTTCAGCATTACGTCATGTCTATACGGCTGGTAAGTGGGTCACTAACCAGTTATACGGCTCTATAAAACCTGCATGAGCCATAGAACTGTTTATTGACCTACTTACCAGCCCTATACTCACCTACCCACAACATGGCAGCTTAACTCACTAGTTGAACCATAACGAATGCAACCATTTCCCTCCCCAGAATCCCCCGACGTAGATGCCCAGAACTTCTCGTACAACCAGAGCGGCACCAGATCCCAGCCGGCCGGCGGTCAGCTCGGCACTCAGGAGTGCGCCATCTGTCGGGACAAGTCCACGGGCAAGCACTATGGCGCCTTCAGCTGCGACGGCTGCAAGGGCTTCTTCCGGCGCAGCGTCCGGCGGAACCACGTGTACGCCTGCCGGTTCAGCCGGAACTGCGTGGTGGACAAGGACAAGAGGAACCAGTGCCGGTACTGCCGGCTGAGGAAGTGCTTTAGGGCCGGCATGAAGAAAGAAGGTACGTGGCGGGCTCTCTCTTCTGAGTGCTTGCCTTTTGGTTAGTCCTGCTTTCATCTTCTAGGCTAGATACATGAATTTAGTGAAATTTTCATAAGAAAAGTATGATTAAATTTCTAAATCTTTTTAGTCTGTTTAAATTCTCGTGGATACAGTCTCTAGTTACATTCTAGTAGATAAAAAATACCAGTCTAATTACTATTGTATGAGTCTAGGAAATTTTTCCTGCCTTTCAGTTTCTATCCCATTGCCGTTATCCACCAACTCTGATAGTGAAGTAAAGTCTTGCTCAATTAATTAAGTTTTAATGTACTGTTAAAGCAGTTGTCTCCCTGTTACAGCTGTCCAGAATGAAAGGGACAGAATCAGTGTACGCAGGACGAGTTACGAGGACGTCACCCAGAGCAGCGCGCTGTCTGTACAGACACTACTGACTGCAGAGACGGCAGCCAGACAACAGGTTTGTGAACACAAGGTGACATGACTGCAGGGACATGATGGCAGAGACATGACTGCTGACTTGGTGACATGACTGCAGAGACATGACTGCTGACTTGGTGACATGACTGCAGAGACATGACTGCTGACTTGGTGACATGACTGCAGAGACATGACTGCTGACTTGGTGACATGACTTCTGACTTGGTGACATGACTTCTGACTTGGTGACATGACTTCTGACTTGGTGACATGACTTCTGACTTGGTGATATGACTGCAGAGACATGACTGCAGAGACATGACTGCAGAGACATGACTGCTGACTTGGTGACATGACTTCTGACTTGGTGACATGACTTCTGACTTGGTGACATGACTTTGTGACATGACTGCAGAGACATGACTGCAGAGACATGACTGCTGACTTGGTGACATGACTTCTGACTTGGTGACATGACTTCTGACTTGGTGACATGACTTTGTGACATGACTGCAGAGACATGACTGCTGAGATGGCAGCAAGACAACAGGTTTGTGAACACAAGGTGACATGACTGCAGAGACATGACTGCTGACTTGGTGACATGGTGACATAACTTGGTGACATGACTGCTGACTTGGTGACATGACTGCTGACTTGGTGACATGACTGCTGACTTGGTGACATGGCTGCTGACTTGGTGACATGACTGCTGACTTGGTGACTTGGTGACATGACTGCTGACATGGTGACATGACTTGATGACAAGGTGACATGAATTGGTGAAAAAACTTTGTGACATGACTGCTGATTTGATGACATGACTTGCTGACTTGACTTTGTGACATGAGGCGACATTGCCTTCTTAGCCACTCTCTTGTTAAAGGCAGGTGAAGTAGAGTTACTCAGTTCCTGTTGACATGGCACATGTGGTTACTGTGTAACCACAACAGTGCAAAGCTACCTTTTAAAATTTCCCTTTGTATGTCAGATGCCCATTTGAGCTACAATTAGATACAGATGTATGTGGTATTCAGACATAGAAGCACTACATATCTTAATGCTAATAGAGGTAGCTACATAATTCGTATCAGTGATGATTGACCTTCTACTCAACAATTCTGGTTAACCTGCCTCTGTTTAGTCACTCCCACTTGATGAGTGTGTTGTTGTTTACATACTGTTATAGTCTACTTGTGACTTACAAGAACAACACAGTAGATCATCCACATAACACACCACACATTATAATATTCCATTGACAGTTTTTAGAATTTATTTTTTTTATATTTCACTTCTTGTGATTGCTTTCCCTATTCTGATTTTATTTAATCTTCTGCCACTAACCTATGTAGGATGGCTTTGGTTTTGGAAATATACCACTTATAATCTTTTAATAGTGCTTTTCTGTTTTGAAAACCATTGAAATAGCTTTTCTGTAACATGCTTCATTTGTTTTTTCAATTAAACAAAAACTTTGTTTGAATACTAATAATGTAAGCTTACAGGCTTAACAAAGTCTTGTTTCTTTAGCCTATTTAAGGAAACAGCTTTAAAAAAATTAGATATTTTGTTTCTCATTATCTCTTGATTGACTTTTTATTTGTGTTGGTGTGTATCAGGTTACTTCCCCTTATATTTCTATTTTTATTCATTTGAAATGGCTTTAGCCTCCATTTATCTACAAGATTTCTCTCTCCTGCTCTTGCTTGCCTACAGAGCAACACTCAGTGTAACCCATGTGGACTTGGGTCATAGATTTCTTGTTGCCAGATTTTTGGCTACCAGTTTAAGAAATTTAAAAAACCACAATCACTATTTGATTAAATTCTAGGCAAAAATTTTTCTAAAAAAATTTTTTTTTTTAAATTTGGATTGTTAGGATGGTGTTGTATAAGCATATAAAACATGAAAACATGTTTTATACTATTAGACAAAATCAAGAACACAAAATTTAGTGCCCTGTAGTAGGCCCTGGTACCTCAATGTGCTCCAGTAGAACTGTATCAAAGTTATTGCTACACATGGCACTAACAGTGACACCTGCAGCTAAATCCTTTGATACAGTGCTGTAGTGCACTTCTAGAGAATGGGTGTAGGACATTGACCCAGGTCTGTTACTCCCTGGTAATTACCCCCCTCCCCATCTTCCCCTAGATGAATTACCCCTGTAGTTTATCACCCGTGGTAATTACCCCCTCTTGAAAATATCTATTATATATGACATTGATAAAGTGAACGATTTGGCATTTTATAAGGTGACATGGCATTCTTGATAACATGAACTGTGCTGATAGCACAAAGTATTTTGTGCTAATTCTAGGCATTCTTTAGAAAATGTAAACTAGGCATTCTATAGAAAATGTAGAAAATGAAACATGGAAACCAGAAAAATGCAGACTAAGCTTATTTCATTCAGAAGAATAACCTAATCCATTCCCTAACCCTATCTTAGGTTAAGAATCAATTCTTAATCGACAGGATGAGGGGGGGGGGGGCTGTAATTTAAGGAGGTAATTGACTGGGGTTAACTTCCCTCTCCCCTGGAGACCATAGCACCCCTAGTGCAGTTGACAGGATCTGATGAACACTACAGTGTTGTGTCCTGGCTCCTAACGCTTACTAACCTGTGTCTTTTACTCTGCTTTAAAACTTGCCATTTCTTTAACTGCATTGTCACAAATGCAGATTGATTCACAGATAGGCTCCCACCTGCTGATGGCAGAGGTCCACAGCCGCAGGTCCGCCTCGCTGGAGGACGTGGTGGAGTCCATGAAACAACAGCTGCTGGTGCTGGTGGAGTGGGCAAAGTTGATTCCCTGCTTTGGTGATCTGCCCTTGGATGACCAGGTGAGTTAGTTCCCTTGCTTTGGTGATCTGCTCTTGTGTGAGGTGAGTTAATTCCCTTGCTTTGGTGATCTGCCCTTGTGTGAGAAGGTGGGGTAATTTTGTTGGTAAAATATATAAAATCAACTCCTATGTACTTGGTGTATGTTATTTGTTAACACTGTTGCCATTGAAAGTGAATTGGTAAAACTTGTTAACACATTTTATTAAAAGTATTTAAAATGCCAAAATAAACCTTATGGTATTTTGTTCTTCTCTAATTCAAATGTATTGTTTAAGATATGTTTTTTAATAAAATTATTCAGTTTTCTTTATATATTTGAAATATAATTTAAAACAGTAATTGAGAAAGTTTTTGTGTTAATTTTGTTTAAATCTTCACATATTGATTTGCAAAGGATATTGATTTTTTTTAGGTTTAGGAAATATTAAAATAAAATACATAAAGAAACATATGCAAATTTCAGGTGGCGCTGTTGAGGGCACATGCTGGTGAGCACCTGATTCTGGGCGTGGCCAAACGTTCTATACCACTCAACGAGGTTCTCCTACTGAGCAACGAGTCCATCATCACAAGACAGAACGCTGACCCTGACGTGGGCCACGTGGCTAGCAGGATTCTAGACGAGATTGTGGCCCCAATGAGAGAGATTCAGGTGGACGACTCAGAGTTTGCTTGCCTGAAGACGTTGGTCTTCTTTGATCCAGGTGAGGGGGCTTCAACAATACGTTGTATCTTTCAAATATTGTGGATGAATGGTAGAACATATGACTGCTAACCAGAAAGTTTTCAGTTTGAATCCGGGTTCAAGTCAGTCGAGCATTTTTGAGTCCACCCAGCTCTGATGGGTACCTGACTAATATTGGGGAAAGTAAAGGTGGCATGGCATAGTGCTGACTTCACTATTCCTTCATATTCCTTTATATGCAGTCTAGCTATGCTGTTAAGCACTCAGAGCTTCCATAAATATTTAAACAAACAAAAAGTAAATGCTGCTAGGGTTGATTACCTAACTCTTGTTAGGAAAAACAAAGGCAGCTGGGCATAGTACTGACCACACTATCCCTTTATATACCTAAGTAATTGAAACAGATGAACTCTACTTCATCTGTCCCATGTTTCTTAGGCACTAAAGAGAAATGATGATTCTGAAATTATTTAACTCTGTTTTACATAAGATTTGCTTCTTTTAGTGTAACACACATATTTATTCAAAACATTCTTTAAGTGGCTAAATTTTTAAAAACCTAATTAAGAGATAATTAATTATTGACCTCCAGTGGCACCTGGCCTGACCAACATCACAAAAGTCAAGCAGTTCCGGTACCAAGTGCAGGTAAATCTGGAAGATTACATCAACGACAGGCAGTACGAGAGCAGGGGGAGGTTTGGGGAGATCCTGCTGTTGCTTCCATCCCTACAGAGCATCTGTTGGAAGATGATTGAGCAGATCCAGTTTGCCAAGCTCTTTGGGATGGCCAGGATAGATAACCTGCTACAGGAGATGTTGCTGGGAGGTAAGGAGGTCTTGGTGGGGGGTAGGGTGGTGTTGGTGGGGGGAGGGAGATGGTGGTGGGGGTGGGGGTGAGGAGGTGTATGTGAGGGAGAGGTAGGGTGTTGGTGGGGAGGTAGGGTGTTGGTGGGGAGGTGGAGTAGGGAGGTGTTGTTGGGGGGGTAGGGAGGTGTTGGTTGGGGGTAGAGGGGTGGGGGTAAGGAGGTGTATGTGTGGGAGAAGTAGGGTGTTGTTGGGGAGGTGGAGTAGGGAGGTGTTGTTGGGGGGTATGGAGGTGTTGGTGGGTGAGGTAGGTTGGGGTAGAGCGATGTTTTTAGAGGGTAGGCAGGTGTTGGTAGGAGGTAGGGAGAAGTGCAAACAGAATACAAGTGTAACATTTTTCTCATTTTTTCCATTATGTATTTTATTTTATTTGTGCAGTAAAAAAATCAGCCCTTATACATCTAGTTGTTTGTTATAAAAAAAATGCTAAGAGTATTTTTTCAATGTTTCCATGTCCTGTAAAGTGTCCCCGGTTTAAAATGTTTTGCTTGACCCCAGGTTCCAACGCGGCCGAGGCCACAGACCCAGTCAACAGTGTGGTGCTAAACAGCCCAGTGGGCGCCATGGTAGCCTCCCCTCAAATGGACGACATGATGGGCATAGGACCCGCAGGCGAGGCCTTGAACTTGATGACAGCCACCAGCGGCGGCGACTACAGCGACATCACCAGCAACCCCAGTCTGGAGGCTAGCCACATCATGCTCACCCTGGCCGAGCAGACGCTGTCCCGCCAGTCGCTGGTGGATGACATCCACACTGCCAAATCCGAGCACCTCCAGCATCCCTCATCCATCATCCAGCACGCCAACGTGCCGTCATCCATCATCCTAGACAACGGTGAACGATTACACATCACCAGCAAGTACAAAGCCACTGTTTCTGTCGCACACGCTCCGCAAAACTTCAAACAAGAGGCCATTTGAAACTTTTACCCATTCTCTGACACGGCCCTCAAAACTTCAGACAACAGGCCATTTGAAACTTTTCCTGCTGTTTCAGTCTGAAATGACCATTACAACTTTAATTAGCGGCCACATGAAAGGTATCTTATTGTTTCTCTAATGGCCATCAAAACTTCAAAGGAGAGACCATTTAAAACTCTTGTTTAAGAAAACTTCGTTAGTGTGTTACTGTATTTTAACACTCAAGAAATAAATTGTTGTTACTTAAAAGCAAAATTGCTTGAATATCTAAAGGGTGTTTACTGTAAAATTGTTGCACACTGAAGTTTACATTTTAAACTACAGAATAGAGCATACTGTAACTCAGTACTGTAAAACATAGTGGTGTGAATCCAATAATGGTAGGGACCAAACTCCATGCAGAGCACAAATAATTCATTCTGAATTCATCAGTTTCTAACAAATTAAACAACTATGATTGTTATAATATTCAATACCATATTTTACATTGTATATATGTAAGGAAAAACTATAATTTTATGTTAACAGTAACAGAAATAATAGAAAAGACAAGCTGTTTTAAAAGACAGTGTATTTTTTTTTTACAAGCTTAGGCCTGCCAGTCATCATCTCCGCAGTACCATAACGATACCATCACCACATCATGACCATACAACCACAATATCATCACCATACCATCGCCATACAACCACAATATCAAGACCATACCATCGCCATACAACCACAATATCACCACCATACCATCGCCATACAACCACAATATCACCACCATACCATCGCCATACAACCACAATATCATCACCACACCATCACGCCATCACAACATCATAAGTTTTCCCACAAGTATAGTCCTGTATTGCTTAAATATCACACACAAATATACCTGCTTTAACAAACCTTTTACTATTGTAGTTGCCATAACAACATACAACTAAACTCCAAAACCAGATTTTGTAATTTTGAAACTTTAAAGACAAAATATTTTACTACTTTAGCTGATGCAGATTTTTTCCTGAAAATGAGAGTTCACAAAATTATTTTTTTTACTGTGCTTATATTGAAATGCTATTTTTAAAAAAAAGCAAGTTTAGTGTTTTAATTTCCTGTGAATACATTTTGAGAATATGCTGGTTCAGGTATTCAGTAGAACAGTTTAAAAAGTAGAAATATTTTTAAGCATTGGATAGCCTGCCTAATTTTTATTTTATACACTTGTTCTTTGCTAATGATTACATTTTTCTTAAAGATTGCTATACAGCCATAAATTGATCAAGGAATTGGGGAAATGTAGCCAATTTAAAAATTACAAATTTAGGTTTAAGATCAGGAACAAAACAAAAAGCTACCTATATAAAGAGACCAGAAAGAAGCAGGGGTTTTTCATACTGATTTAAAAAAAAAAATTTACTTAAAAAATGATCTTAAAACATAATACATTGTTTAAAATCCAATAAACAAAACTAAGAATTTGAACTATTTTATTTTGCTCCTTAAAATAATTATTACAACATTTTTTAGTGAATTACTTTGTCTAAATGTAATGTAAATATATTGGATACTTTTGTTACTAATTGAACTAAATTTAAACCTCCTGCTCTTAATGTGCCTTACCTAAATTATTGCTCAAATTTTATGCAAAAATCTGTCCCCCCAAAAAGATGCCAAATAAATTATTTCTATGAACAATATAAAATCAAGCATAATCATTCCTTATGTTAAAATCTTTTAGAAAATGTGATGTTTCTTACCCGCTGAATTGATTTCACTAATATTTTTTCAGTGCATGCCAACCAATTAAGTCAAATGTTTAAAAATTATCAATATTGCTACAATATACAATAGTGCTTTGACTGTACAGATACTTTAGAGCTATTAAAGAGTAGTTATAAGGACGTAAATTTCTTTTACACTTGTTTGCTATGTTGGTAGATTATTTTATAAAAGTTTATTTGTCACGAAAATGTTATTTTATAATTTAAAACAAATTGTATTATAACTTTTTAATACTAAAATGGCTGTGTTCTTGTAGAGAGTTGTTAATTTTCAACAGATATAAGCATTGATGTCATTGGCTAATTATTTCAATAATAATAGAATTTTTCTATCCAAAAAAACACCTAAAGATCAAGTAAGGCTGTACTAAAAATCATTACATTAACAAAATTGATTTCTATAGTGTTCAGCTATTTCTTTGTCTTATGCAATGAGTATTTTATGTTTATAGCATCAGATAATTTCACAGCCCTAATGTTAAACTCCCTCATCTGCCTTCACGCTTTAAGTCAAATATATGTTGCCAAAGCTGATCACTGCATATTATTTGTGTATTAGTATAATACATTTTTACTGTTTCTTTTCTTTGCTTATTTTGGATGCAAATTATGTAAGCTAGCTAAATAACGTTGACTTGTATATATAAATATATACATATATATTTGTATATATATAAATATATATATATATATATATGTATATATATAAATATATGTATATATGTATATATATATATATATAAATATATATATATATAAATATATACATATATATATACACACATACACAAAAGAATTTTGAATTATAAATTCATTTTTAAAATTATTTAATAGTTATGCCAATGTATATACAGGCACAATGCTACCAAATATATCTTGATTACTTCTAACACCTCTTATGTTTTCAATCAGATTTCTGTAAATATTATGTAAAAACAGACCCTTTTTGTTTTTTCATAAATTATTTACCTTTTGTTTCATTATTTTATGCTGTTGGACAATAAAGTCTTTCACTTGTCATTCCGTGTGTTGTTTGTTTTTTGTTCACATGGAATGCAGTTTAATTTTGCTCAAGATGCCACTAACTAAACTGTCATGTTGAAACATTGTTTAGAATGTTGCACATCACTTTTACTTTTCACAAGCTTTTATTCAGCTCATAATGTCTGTATGTTTGTGGAATGTGATTAATCTAGTATTTTAATTTCAACCCACCTTTAATGCAGCGATTTCATTAAAACTTTCCAGAAATAGATTGGTCTCTGTCGATAATGCGAGAATATCTATTTTTATAAAACTTATTTTCAATTAAAAAATTACTAAATATATTATAACAAAATCAAAGACATAATAAAGTTCTGCAAAGTTTATTTATTAACCAGCCTGTTTAAGTTCTTAACAACAATGCAGATAATAAAATGGTGATACTAGTGATAGCAGTTCAGAAATTTAAAATGGAGTAATAGTAGTATTTTTAAAAATGCTGCTTAAAATGATGATGGCAATATTTCAATTGAAAAAAAAAAAGAGAATCAAACATATTGCAAGTGAGAGAAGGTTAAAAATTTGTAGGGGTCATGGTTGGTAATGTAGCACGTTACATTTTATGGTTGAGCTTTACATAAAGAAAATTACGAATTATAGGCTACACCTTAAATCTAAATAATCCATGTTAAGTACTAGATGATCACACAAACAATCCTGAAATACGACACGATTTACGTAAAATTGAAAAAAAGTGTTAAGAGTGAGCTGAATGAAATATGACAACCACATAATAATCACATCATTCAACCATTTTAATTACACTTCAACAATGACCAAGTGTAGTATAAATAATTAAAAATCATAAGCACACAGCTGCTGCTAATGAATAGATTGTTAATTAAAACAACACACACACACATTTACAGTTAACTTTCATCCCTCATCCTAACTTACTTCATTAAAGTGGTTCAATTTTACATTTTAATTTAAAATGTGCATAATAAATAAACACTATAGATTTAAATATTAAAATTACAACCTATAACTATCAGCGCATAGGAAAATAATTCATTTAAACTGGTTAATCTAAATCCTCCAGTCCAGCAGAGAAATCCTTCAAGTAAATTTAAATCTAATTAATCTGGAGAACACATCCTTTGTAGAAAGAAAATGTATGCCCCCCATAAAAAACTACTAGAGTTAAACATTGGACTATTCCTCCTTGTGGAAGTAAAGAATGATTGTGCTCTATATAAAGTGCCTAAAAATGTCTACCCTTCTCATCTAACAATCTGTTGTCTTTTCATTTTTCTTTCCATTTTCTTCTGCTTCTTTTCATCGACTTTCTCCTCTTCAGCTGGAGCGAAGAACCAAGGGCCCAAAATGTTGACCCACAACACATAAAATGCTCTCACAGGAGCCTGAGCAGACATAAAAGAAAAAAAAATGAGTTTAAATAAAAAATGTAACATTAAAAATAAAAAATGTTCAATAAAAACAACCACAAACCAGCAAAGAAAAAATATAAAAACTATTAACAACAAATATCGTAACCCGATAATCATGAGTTCAAATTTTGGGCTCCAATTTATAGGATGTCCTTGTGCTCATCCAGCCCTAACAGGGTACCTGACTCACATTTGGAAAACAAAGGCAATGGCTGGGCATAGTACTGACCACACCATTCCCTATTTGCAGAGGTCATTGAAAAAGATGAACTCTACTTCATCTGCGTCATGTGTCTTGAGCATGAACGGGAACAGAAGATGATGAAGAACACATATATGACTTCTGTCTGAACATTATCTCACAAGATAGCTCTCATCTATTTATGTAGGTGATATCAGATATTTATTTTTAATTTATTACGATAGCTACTAATTTAGCTGATAAAAGTAAAGAACAACAGATGCTACACGCTGAAAGCTCACCAGTAGCAGAAAGAGCCAGAAGTATCCAGATAACAAAGATAAAGCTTGGGTTATAGCTGTAAGCAACAGGAGATCCTTTGAGTGCCTGTAAAAAAAACCATACAAAACATCATTTGAAGAATTTTCATGATAAGCATTAGATTTGTTTTGCATTTTTTTGAGATAATTTTTGGATCATCATTAAGTTTGAGGTAACTTAAAGAAAATATGTGGTTGAGAAAGCTCATTTAAACTTTTCAAGTTGACTTTTTAAATGTGCAAGTACAATCTACTGAGTAATTAAATTAGACTAATTAGCTGCAACAATAGCTGTCATGTTATTTCTTCAACATTACGCAGAAAGCACTATTTAAATTGTACATGTTTTGATCCAATTAATGTGTAATGAATTTTTATTTCAACCAATAAAATGGCAGAATAAAATTAAAGGGAACTCACTCTGCCATGCCAGCCTCCATGTTAAGATCAATGCCAGCATCAATCAGCTGCCCATTCTGGTACACAGTTTTAGCCATAGAGGACATGAACTTGTAACTGCCAAAGTAGATCAGGGCAGATAACCCTGAGAGGAACTGTTTATACAAAACAAGATTAGCAATAGAGCTCAACAAAAAGATAGAACTCTAAAAATTATAAATATAAAGGACATTAAAGTGAGATTGTCTATTAGAACTCTAAAAGTTATAAATATAAAGAATATTAACGTAAGATTTTCAACACTACCTGAGTCACAAATAAATTTACGTTGAAACTAGATTTTTAAATTAAATTCAAGTTGAGAAAAAACTTACTTTTGGTCCCAGTGTAAAATCATCCAAGTAAAATATAAACCAGACACAGTAATATAAAGCCTGCAGTAAAAAAAACAATAATTCATAACTTAAAAATTAGCATAACTTTACTTGTATTAATATGTATCAAATTGTACCAAAGGGTAAGTGTACTGGTCCAGCAGTACAAAAATAGCTCTAATGTGTGCTGTATTAAATAGACATTACATTTCATCTCAAATTACACATGATTAACGCCCCAATCCCTCCTTGTCTAAAAGAGCAACAAATCCAATCAATAATGCCAACACTCAACACAATGACTATATGATATACCTACATTTACTGCACTAATTATGTAAATATAAAAGAGAAGAGTAGACTTGTTTTCTTCTGCTATCTGCTTTTGTCCTTTTGTTCCTTGCTTGCCTTTGGGCTAAAAAGAAAAAAATACAGCTGTTCAGTTGATCATTAACTTATCCTCTGATTTTAAAAAAAAATTTAGTTGATTATCAACTTATCCTGTGACTTTTTTTTGTGATTGACAATTTGTGCAGACTTAAAATAAATTAATAGTGTATTAGAATAAATTTCATATTTATTCCAATTTCCTACACCCAATAAAAATTAGAGACTGGTTGATTTACTAATCGTTTAGACCTTGCTGGTACATGGCAGTCAACAGATTTTTATTGTAAAAATAGATTTTCTACCTTCAAAATATTTTTTCTCTTTAATTGATTGAGGATTATTTTTGTAAATCTTTTTAACAATGTTCTGTAAAATTCATTTTTAATAGGGATTTTAGTGCAGTAGTAAAATATGAATACATTATCAGATAATATTACACCTTTATTTTAAGGGAATTAATTCTAAAATTATAAATTTATAATTTTTTTAAAATGTAGAATCTTTGTTTCTGAGTCCATATAGCCGCAGACCAGAATTCAGACTTGGTTTGGTTTATAGTTACAGATTCAGATAACCTGAAATTGAACTACTTACTACATAGGCCTACTTTCAATGTTCATTTGTTTCTTGTGGATTCGCTAGCATTTTCTTTATTAAGTAGCTCTGTATCTCTAACTAGGATAATTTCACATGATTCCTATATAATATTTATAAACAAAATTACTAGGCCTAGATCTAATTATTAAATTAATAAATTATTGCCAATTGTCTTAACTTCTTAAGTCGACTTAAGTCCAAATCATTGGCCCTATGACATGATTAATATTATTTATATAGATCTCGAATTCTAGATCTATCCACAATCAATCATCCAACTAAGAGTCTAAGACACTAGAGGAGTTTACACTTTTCGGACACACACCAAAAATTACGTAGGAGCGAACACTTCGTCGGTTTTTGGCTCATAGAAACTTTAATTAGCATGTCTCACGCGAAACCACGGCGCCTGCACGTAAACTGTTCATTTATGAACACTTCCGTGTCAAGTACTTCCGTTTCCTTTCACAAGAATTATTTTTAGAAATTTTTTAACGTTGCATGGTACGCACATTTCTATTTTTACACCAGCCGGATGAAGTGACCTAGGGTTGGACTTAGGGGCAAAACTTGAACCAATCAATGCTTAGCTAAAAGGTTACACTATAAATAGCTTCTATATATGTATGGAACATCGTAAATGTCAAGGTTAATGGGTTTTTTTGTGCTTGAACAATAAAAAAGGGGTGTTCGCTAACTTATTTGGCCTTACATGGGAGCGGACAGCAACACAAAAATATTACTAAATAAGAATTTAGAGCATAAAAGGGGCTGGTTATTGAAGGGAAAGGGTCAAAATAAGGTCAAGAAGGCAGTGGAATGCGAAAGAGGAGGGGGAATCATGTGACCTGGCTGGCTTAGCAGCGTACTGCGCGAGCCGCAATGGCTGAATGGGATGAACTTTGGGAGTGTAGGAAAAAGGTTTTATACTATTAAAATTACCTCACAAACAATCAATAACACAATATACATGCATATAATATATGTTTTTATTCATTAAATTGACTTTAAATTATTCTAAATGAACAAAAAGTGCTATGTCCGATGACGGGTAAAGGTGTCCGAACACATGTAAAACTGTATTACATGTGTTCGAACACACGTTAAGACCCCCCAGTCACTATAACAAGAATAGCTTAAGTTCTATGCGTATGAATACAAAATGACACACACATTATTAAAGTAGAATGGTTGCGGATAGATATGATACTTTTTTTTGTTTTCTATGCTAAGCGGTTACTGAATGAGACCGCATGGAATTTTTACGTTGCGTTTTTTCGCTATGTGTGTCCGAAAAGTGTAAGCTCCTCTAGATCTAAGTAATTTTCTAGAATCTAGATCTTAGATCAAAATTATAAATTATGTGAGAGTAAGTTCTAGATCTAGATCTAAATTAATAAATTTCGATCATATTTCTTAGTCTAGGGGTCATCTAAAATTACATTTCTTTTGGTCTTCACTTGACTTAGATGTCTAGATCTAGTAACTTAAACGTTATAGTTTTTAGTCTTCACTTTTCATTTTTTTTTCACCCTTCTCAGAAGTCAACTCAGTAAGTGGGCTTCTGCCTCTGGTCTGCAGATCCGGTTTACTGGCATTTCTTTACATTTATTAGTTTTACGAACTACTCATTCAGATCTAGAATCAGGTACAATTTAAAGAATGTATTTAAAAGTGTTCAAGTATTTTTCTTACAGGCATGATGATTGCTTTTGTTCAATAACCGTTTTAATGAAGGGTAAGGGCGACAAACAGCTGGTATGGATCTCGTGGCAATGCAAGCAGTGTGTTGTAGTATTTGTGTATGTTTTTAATGTGATGTGTAGTAAACGTACAAATTTATCTTTATGGAAACAAGAGTTAGGCTAGAATTTTAAAACTAAAACTTTCTGAGATAATATAAGGAATAATTTAAACTTTTTTTTTCATTTTTACCAAATGAAAGTTAAAGTTGTCGTAGCAACGCTTAGCAAAGATTCACAAAAAGGATCTAGAATCTAGTTTCTAGATCTAGTTAATCTAGATTCTAGATTTTGTTTGAATACCGTCAACTAAAATAAAAATAATTTTCTTGCCACCCCAAACTTCATACCAACATATTAAATATTAATTTATTATTGACGGTAATAATCCAAGATAGAAAAAAAGAAACATAGGAGAGGGGAGATTTTTTAAGGACATAATCATATTTCTTAGGGCTCATCCATATAACTGACGTCACGCTTTTTGGACGATCCCCCCCCCCTCCTCACCGCCGTTACACATCGTCACAAAAATCAGACCCTCTCCCCTCCCTATAATGAAGTCACAACTCAGTCTACACCCTCCCCCCTCAAAATTGCAGTTTAATTTTATTTGTAAAACGTATGTGGCATATTTAAATTATAGACCTATGTAGGCAGACACACACACATATATATATGTATGTATATATATATATATATAATAAATAATATAATAGTATAATATATAAATAGGCCTATATATATATATATATAAATAATATATATATATATATATAAAATATATATATATAAATATATATATATATATATTATATATATAGGCCTATATATATATAAATATATATATATACTTTGTTTCTTTTTTTTTTGGGGGGGGGGGGGGGGTGACACCACGAAGTGCCACATCTGGCGACATTCACCAAAGAATTGGCTAACTTTCATTTCATATGTATAAGGCAAGGAGCCTAAAATGTTGTATGTAAGTGTATAGGGTCTTTTAGGCTATGTCACAATTGTTATTGAGTTGTGCTATTTTAGTGAATTATCCTTAGTAGAGATCTATTGTGCCCACTATGTTAAGTCTATAACAAGTTTAAATTGGATTGAGACATAAAAATAAAATAAAATTTTTTTTGGATCTTGATGTTTGAGTGACATCTAGATCTTATAACTATTTATTGGAGGAAATACCCAACAATTTTATAAGTAACAACAGTAGTTGTCCTTAATTATTAGGAACACAGAAGTGGATATTGTTGTACTCATTTCTTGACATTTTAGCACAATCAGCTTTAAAAATAGCACCATTTACCTATTTAATTATCTGGAATTAGGTTTTATATTAAAAAACATTTTTGTTGTATAAAAGAGCCCAAGACAGTACTATCCATCCATGACATAAGAAAAGACAATTTACTTGAGAAGCAGATAAAAAATGAAAGGAATTTTAAAAAAAAAAATATATACAAGGCAATTAACAAAAGCATTATTAATATTTAAAACATTTTAATTTATTTAACGAACACAACTTTAAAAAAAAACAATAAGTTTTTAAAGTGTGTAAAAGTTTTCAATCACAAATTCACCATTTTTTTTATCTGAACAACATGTCATCAATGACAAAAATTACATGTGTTTTAGACTTCTGTAAGGTCTAGAACATATTAAATTCCAGCCTTAGACAAAACAATGTGGCAGCCCCAATTACTCAACCAAACCAAAATCATAATCAGGCTTGCCAGATGCGTAGGACTGAATGAAATGCAAGTGTGTTTTGGCATCCCACATGGTAGCCTTGACAGCTGGCAGCTGGCACATGACATCAAACCAAGTTGCCAGGTGGGGGAAGTTGTCTTTGCTGACTCCAGCTCTTGTGTCGATAGATTCCAGGACGGGTATACGCTCAAAGTGAGGCCATAAGTAAAAGTCTATCATGGACGGGGTTTCACCTGGAAGATAAAAAAAACCCAAACGTTTGTTTAAAAAAGGTTTAGTAGAATCTTCAGAACTCATAAGTAAAGTAAAGTTTCCCTTTCAAAACCTGAAGGTCTATGGGGCAAGTGAAGTAGAGTTCACTTGTTTCTGTGACCTTGGCATATGAAGAGATAGTGTGGTCAGCACTATGCCCAGCCGCCTTTACTTTCCCTAACGTGAGTTAGGCACCCATCAGAGTTGAACCTGGATTCGAACTCGAGACTTACGGGTTAGCAGTCCAGCTCTCTACCGCTAGACCACTCAGTCCTATCAGAACTCATAAGCTAGCAATAATGCAGAAGTTGACTAATAAGGTACTATTCACACCATACAATCCATGGGGAAGATGGTGTTACATTGTGTCGCTGATGGGTTTGTGAGATCATAGATATCCTACAGATTAAAGCCCATGATTCAAAATGTTTTTAGATTACTATTGAGTTTCTTAGTAAAAAGTATACATATACAAAAAACAACAGTTTTTACCTCCAAAGAATGGGCCGGTCCTTTTAGCAAGTGTATCTTCATAAAACTTCAGGTGTTTTTGAAGTTCTTCAACATTTTTTTCTCGCTTATCAGGCTCTCTCAAGAATGCATAAATTAATGTTGTAAGCTGCAAGCAATATAGAAAACACAATTTTTAAAATTAATGTAAGCTGAAAGCAATATAGAAAACACAGTATTTAAAATTAATGTAAGCTGCAAGCAATATAGAAAATACAGTTTTTAAAATTAATGTTGTAAGCTGCAAGCAATATAGAAAACACAGTTTTTTAAACTAGAATATAGGCCCTACATTGTTTATCGTTAATTTAAGTGTTCAGTGGAAGCCTATATGATGTAATACAGTATAACACATGCTGAGGCCCGCACTGCATCTAAATTTTTTAAGATGTGACAGATCTTAGTTTGATTACAATTCTTTATTCCCAGACGGTTTCGAAAAAGACCTACAATGATGATTAGACATATATTACAGTCATACCCTGCTCACAGTGATTCACATTTAGTATATGTGAACTATTCACAGATTATCTCTGTCCATTTTTCATTGCGTTGACTAGAATTTTGAGTATCTGAGTATGTTGTATCTATTAATTTAAATCTTAAAAGTTTGCTTTGAAATAATGATTTGAAAGCCTGAAAACTTGAGCTGGGAGGCAGGTTTATATTTTGAAGTGTTTGAAAACACTGGGGAAAAACCTTCACTTTGTATGACACAGTAACATCTTACAATATGTTGAATGTACAACTCAAAGCACTAAAGTTACTAATGAATAGTCTCCCTTTGCAGCAGTGACCCAACAATTAAACAAAAAACCAACCTTTCCGAAATACTCCAACAGAGTCCTGTCCCATGCCTTTGTGTAAGGATCACTTGGCTGAAGTCTATGCTGTGGGTAAATGTCATCAAGCCATTCACATGTGGCTGTGGATTCATAAATAATCTTGTCATCTAGTTCCACAATTGGCACCAGACCAAGGGGATTTTTATCAAAGAACCAATCAGGTTTGTGTTTTAAATCAACATTAATTGTTTCAAACCTGTAAAGAAAATATAAATAAATATAGCTGAGTATTAAATTATATTATATATACAAAATTTCTAAAGTAGTCTAAGTAATGAAACCAATCAACTACCAACACCAAACTTAGCTACTAAACAAAGAAAGGGGGAGTATTTCCAGTAAAATAGTAATCCTACTTTTAGAAAAGTGTTACACAAGGATTTCATAATAATATTTCTCATGAATTGTGAAAGGTTGAAGGGTCACTTTGATTAAAATACTAAAATTAACAAGCCGAAAAAATACTTCTAAATCTTGTTAAGAAAGATATTAAAAATAAAAAATATATTTTACCTTTTTATTTTGTTAAGAAGATGGGTGATTATTAAGAAAAATGAACTTTGTTGAACCTACGGAATGTTTTTGTAAAGAAGAACCAGTCTCGTTCTTTGTGCAAATGGACAAAATCTCATGCTGTACAGTCTGAGAAGCCCTGGCTGTAGTGGTGGAAGTGGTGTTCCTGGTAAAAGAAAATTCAAAGGAAATAATATATCCCAGTATGCCAAACTAAGTAAATTACAATTTACCAATTTCACAAAGATTAAAGCCTGTTACAATATTTATATTTCGATCTAGCTTCTAGATCTAGAAAATCTAGTAGATCTGCATTAAATAATACATTTGTACACTTCACGGTAGATCTATATACTATATAGATCTAGATCTATATCTAGTATCTAGATATATTCTAGATCTATAACCATTAGGCCTACCTTTTTGAAAAGATTTTTGCGTCATAATTTTAGGGTTTTGACAGTGTTTACAAACAGTGCGTAGTCTTTGAGTTGCCAGTGTTGAGCTTTAATTTTAATCTAAAATATAAAAAATAATTTTAGCTTCTGTCAAACTTGCTAGATCAAGAATCTCGTTTTAGATCTGGATTTTCTAGATCTAGAGGCAGTGGCGGAACTAGAAAAAAAGGGCTCCCCCGCAAAGAAAAAATTAGGGCCCCCTATATATATATATATATATATATATATATATATATATATATATATATATATATATATATATATATATATATAATCTATATCCTAACTGTGTAATTAAGTCTACTTCATTGCAATAAATAACCATTCTGAATGAACAAACCAGACAAATTTAGTCCAAACTCATCCAAACAACATAATCATGGCTACTGCAGAAAAAGCTGCTCAAAAATATATAAAGACGTAAGCTTGATTCGTGAATGGTTTCTCGCGTTATGTTTATTTTTTTTCATTTTTGGCTTTTATAATATCAATTTTGAAAAAAATTGATTTTTATAGCTATACCATTGTTTATTACGTCTTATTTAAATGACAATTCAGAGAATCAATTGCTTTTCAATATACATAGTACAAAACTATTTAAATGAGCTTCGTGGGCATACCTATTTTAAAGAAGGGCAGTAAGTCATGGAAGTAGTGTGAATGTTTGCCTACCTTTCAAACTATAGCTCTTGTAGATTTTAAAATATTTTTCTACGCAGCTATCTCTGCTATAGTAGACCTGTTTTTTTTTTTTACAAAATCACTTTCAAGATGCATGAAAAACATATTTTTTGAAAAAAAAATCATTGTTTTTTGGTCGGAACTGGGCCCCTAAACGTCCTGGGCCCCCCGCATTGCGGGGTCTGGCGGTATGGTAGTTCCGCCCCTGTCTAGAGGCAAGGCTTACATAACAGTGATAACACTTTGTTTGATAATCATAAGGCCTACTCTACGACTGATTTTTTAGTGCAGGACAGGAGACAATCTTACACAGTTTAAAGGTGAAGGTCACTGTGTAGTGTAGGCCTATAAAATATATAACCAGAGATAAGTAAAACTTGCATGTGTGTGTGTGTGTGTGTGTGTGGCTATGAAGTGGCCTACGTTACGTTGCGACCCTATATTTTATATGCGTCCGTGACTTTTGCGACAAACATATCGGCATACATACAGTGGCAGTGGCGGATTAAAGGGAGATTTTTAGCCCCCTCCCCCACCCTCACCACAAAATTTCTCTTATGTTCGGAAACATTTGTTTTACAATTTACATTTAAACCAAACCACATAGGCCTACACATACATTGTCATCACGCTTCACTTGAGGTTGTTCACGAAGCATCATATAAAATATAAGAGTAGGCCAAAGTTAAAAACATCAAGCTAGTCTAGTGGTAAACACCCATATTACAGGCATACAATTCCCCTTCTCATCATCCGTGTTACTGACCTACATTTTCTGACACAGCAGCTCTGTTACTGACCTACTTTTCTCCACACAGCATCCGTGTTCCTGACCTAGTTTTTCCAACACACTACATGTCCAACTCAAGACCACATTCAGCCGAGCATTACCAAGTCAATAAGCATAGAGTTTTCGCCCTCAAAAGGACATTTTTGTGTGCGTTTAGTACCTTCACGGGAATAAACTTTTGAATCGGCGACTAGTCTAGTCAAGATCAAGACCACATTCAGCAGAGCAAGACTAAGACTAACTGTCTTTCATTTTAAAGTATGCGTTTTTAGTATATAAAATATGCCCAAAAGAGTAAAACTCTGGAACTTGCGAGATAAGTAATGCTCAAGACCACTTTCAGCCGATCATTACTAGGTCAACAAGCATAGAGTTTTCGCCCTCAAGAGAACACTTTTGTCAGCGTTTAGAACAGTCTCGGGAATAAACCTTTAAAAAAAAACGATTAGTCTAGTCAAGCTTAAGACCACTTTCAGCCGAGCAAAACTAACAATAACTGTCATTTATTTTAAAGTAGTCGTTTTCAGTATATAAAGAATGCCCAACAGAGTATTTCTCTGGAACCTTCGACAGCAAAGTCATGCTCTAGACCACATTCAGCCGAGCATTACCAAGTCAATAAGCATAGAGTTTTCGCCCTCAAAAGGACGTTTTTGTGTGCGTTCAGTACCTTCACGTGAATAAGTTTTAAATCGACAACTAGTCTAGTCAAGCTCAAGACCACTTTCAGCCGAGCAAGACTAAGACTAACTGTCTTTCATTTTAAAGTACTTGTTTTTAGTACATCAAGTAATCCCAACAGAGTAAAACTCTGGAACTTGCGAGATAAGTAATGCTCAAGACCACTTTCAGCCGAGCATTACTAAGTCAACAAGCATAGAGTTTTCGACCTCAAGAGAACACTTTTGTCAGCGTTTAGAACAGTCACGGGAATAAGCCTTTAAAAAAAGACGATTAGTCTAGTCAAGCTCAAGACCACTTTCAGCCGAGCAAGACTAAAACTAATTGTCTTTCATTTTAAAGTAGTCGTTTTTAGTATATAAAGTATACAAAAAGAGTAAAACTCTGGAACTTGCGACTGAAGTAACAATCAAGACCACTTTCAGCCGAGCATTACTAAGTCAACAAGCATAGAGTTTTCGAGGTTAAGGGAACACTTTTGTGAGCGTTTAGAACAGTCACGGGAATAAACCTTTAAAAAAAGACGATTAGTCTAGTCAAGCTCAAGACCACTTTCAGCCGAGCAAGACTTAGACTCACTGTCTTTCATTTTAAAGTAGTCGTTTTCAGTATTTAAAGAATGCCCAACACTGTATTTCTCTGGAAACTTCGACAGCAAAGTCATGCTCTAGACCACATTCAGCCGAGCATTACCAAGTCAATAAGCGTAGAGTTTTCGCCCTCAAAAGGACGTTTTTGTGTGCGTTTAGCACCTTAACGGGAATAAATTTTGAATCGACGACTAGTCTAGTGAATATCAAGACCACTTTCAGCCGAGCAAGACTAAAACTAATTGTCTTTCATTTTAAAGTACTTGTTTTTAGTATATAAAATATGCCCAAAAGAGTAAAACTCTGGAACTTTCGAGATAAGTAATGCTCAAGACCACTTTCAGCCGAGCATTACTAAGTCAACAAGCATAGAGTTTTCGAGGTTAAGGGAACACTTTTGTGAGCGTTTAGAACAGTCACGGGAATAAACCTTTAAAAAAAGACGATTAGTCTAGTCAAGCTCAAGACCACTTTCAGCCGAGCAAGACTTAGACTAACTGTCTTTCATTTTAAAGTAGTCGTTTTCAGTATTTAAAGAATGCCCAACAGAGTATTTCTCTGGAAACTTCGACAGCAAAGTCATGCTCTAGACCACTTTCAATCGAGCATTACCAAGTCAATAAGCATAGAGTTTGCGCCCTCAAAAGGACGTTTTTGTGTGCGTTTAGTACCTTCACGGGAATAAATTTTGAATCAACAACTAGTCTAGTCAAGCTCAAGACCACTTTCAGCCGAGCAAGACTAACTGTCTTTCATTTTAAAGTACTTGTTTTTAGTACATAAAGTAATCCCAACAGAGTAAAACTCTGGAACTTGCGAGATAAGTAATGCTCAAGACCACTTTCAGCCGAGCATTTCTAAGTCAACAAGCATAGAGTTTTCGCCCTTAAGAGAACACTTTTGTCAGCGTTTAGAACAGTCACGGGAATAAACTTTAAAAAAAAGACGATTTGTCTAGTGAAGCTAATGACCACTTTCAGCCGAGCAAGATTTAGACTAACTTTCTTTTATTTTAAAGTAGTCGTTTTTAGTATATACATTATACTCAAAAGAGTAAAACTCTTGAACTTGCGAGATAAGTAATGCTCAAGACCACTTTCAGCCGAGCATTACTAAGTCAACAAGCATAGAGTTTTCGAGGTTAACTCCCACCCAACGATTGATTGGTTTATGTCCCATTATTGTCATGTGACTTTGAGGTCATAAAAATGGTGATAAACATGTTTTTTTTCAAGCACAATAGCATTTTATATCAAAATAAATTATGAATTAATCATAATCTGAAAAAATAATAATTAATTTTAAACTTATTATATATTTTCGAGTACGAAAATTAATGCTATCGCGTGATCGGCGAGACGCCGCCATCTTGCCGACTTTGCATTCATCCTCGGTCAGACCTCATGGAAAATGGAATTAGATTCTAATTATCTGCGTGAAAATGATTTAGATTCAAGTAACGAAGAAGTGTAAGACCTTACTGATGTCCTAGACACTGGAGATAACGAAAATACAGTTTTGAACACTATTTTGAATTCTTTCTCTACACATCGTAAGTAACTCAGTTTTTCTCCTTTTTTTTCCTACTAATTTTTTGGCGATTTTTATCAATTTTTCTTTTTAATGATTTTAATTAGATATAAATGTGTAGTTAAAAGAACACTTCAATCATTTTACTATGTAACTAGCCTAGTTTCAGTTCATAGTATATGACAATTATTAAATAATAGTAGTATTGGTAGCAGTACTGTCTACCGTCTAGAATGTAAACACAAATCAGCTGATCTTACATGACTGTAATAAAAACTCAGTTTTCTTTTGTTACAAACAGTACTAACTTGTACTAACTTATTATAAATCACCTAACATTTAGGATGAAATTATTATATGTGAAAATATTAAATAGAATCCATATTTTAAATATTTACCATTTTTTCTTTTCAACAGAACTGAGAATTTATAAAGGAAAAAAGGAGTGAATGGGTATCCCTTATCAACTGGGACTGTTACCTCCTGAGAAAGAACCAGGAATTCAGCTGGCTGAGATGAGGACAGGAGACAGTACAATGAAGTATATGTTTACTCAAACCTATTGTGTTTGTAAACTCTACAGTGAAAATTGTGACATACATTATGTCAATTTACCAATTGATATGTAAAGCGACGAAGATCACTTATCTGTCTCGGGATGGTTTAATTTGACACCTGATTAAATCTTACAGGTTTTATGAACTTATAATATGTTCTAAGGATTATCAACACTCATTTTGACAGATTCTGAAGCAAGAATTTACTCTATGCTCTACAATGGACTGCGG